TAATCAAGTTACAGAGGAATGGCTATCGGAATCGAGTCAAACAGCGACCTCGGGAGCAAGCAAGAAGCAAGTCAGCCAACAACATTCATTACATACTAAAGAGGTCAAGCTAACCCAACCTGACGAGAAAGAAAGCAAGCAGCAGGCAGGCAAGCAAGCAACCAACCAAGTAAGCAACAACAACATATTCAATTCATTACACGGGAAGGAGTCAAGTTAACCTAACCTGACGAGAAAGACAACTACTACATTAAAAAGGCAGGCAAGCTCTAGCTAGTCTGTTACCATATTTTACTTTTATTAAAAAATTAAAATTTTGAATAAACGAACAATTCGAATCAACTAAGCCTAACAAAATTACGGTTAGGTTGGGTTGAGTTGAAAAAATTTACTAACTCAAACATTTTAAATTCAATAGACAAATATCTATACTAAAATAAAGAAATGTCGGCTAAGAGTTAGATCATCTACTTTTATAGTTGACAAATTTTAACGTTCATCAAATAACTAAATAGAAAATTATTAAAACGACTATATATATATATAACTAAAAGTGCCAAATTTTTTTTATAAACAAAAAAAGGTTGACTTTTTATTTTTATTTTTTATTTAAAAAAAAAAACTCAAAATATGACTTTCTTTATTTATTTTTTATTTAAAAAAAAAAAATCCTAATTGTCTGGCGGGCTAGACTATTCAAGCAGTGAGGATTGGGATTTAAAGTCGTTATTGTCTAGTGGGCCGCTCGCTCCTGAGGTGGGCCCACCCCAGCCACTAAACAATCCAACGGCAGGAGTAGCACGTGCCTAAACCGTGACGCGGCCAAAAGGAAATAACTCCAACTTTAGTGGTCTAAATTCAAATTTATACATAGTTGGGGGACCAGTTATTGCAAATACCTAAATTATCATTTTCTTCCCAAACACGTATTTTTACTCCAACCGTGTCATTTAAAACTTTTGATATTTACGTGACTAACTTGATCTCTTAAGTGGGATTATTTTGAAATTTTAATAATATAAAAACCAAAATTTTACGTGACTAACTTGATCTCTTAAGTGGGATTATTTTGAAATTTTAATAATATAAAAACCAAAATGAATCAAAATAATATTTTGAGCCAAATAATTTAACATAATTTTTATATTTAGTTTTTGAGCGTTTTATTTTCGAGGGCGGCTTTGACTAAAAGTATTCTAGAAGTACTTTCAATATCGACAAAAATGTTTTTAGCTAAACTCTTAAACACGTTTTACTTTGACTTTAACTTGGTTTACCAAGCCAACTTCGATTATAATTTTAATTAATTTTTTTTATAGTTAACCTATTAAATTCCTACTCCGACATTTAAAGGAAGAAAAATTATCGAATTAATTTTTTTTATAGTTAACCTATTAAATTCCTACTCCGACATTTAAAGGAAGAAAAATTATCGATTAATTAGTAAAGTAGGAACTCTCTTCGCTACCCGTCATGACTTTTTGCTGGTTGTCACATTTTTCTCTGACTATAGTACTAACAAAATTTAAATAATTATATATATGTGTATAGCGTGTAAAATCAACTTAAGAATATTAAAAAATAAAATAAAATAAAATCATTTATGACATCATTTTTTTTAAGATGATGAATTATTCTATTCAAATTTTTTTATTTTTTATTTTTATATATCGAGCCTTATTTATTTATTCTATTTTGTAAAAGAACCAAAATTTAAAAATAAGGCACTTCTTAAAAAAAAATAATAAATTGTTTTTTTTATATAAAAAAAAGTTGACATCCCATTTGACGTCAACTTAAAACATTAAAAATATAATATTTAATATGAAATGCGTAAATTAGACTGAATTTATCATATTATTTTAATCTTTAAATACTCTGTATTAAAGTGGATAAATTAATTAATTCCGTGAATGGTGATTATTTTTTCCATTAAAAAATGTATCTTTTTATTATTTATGCGTAAATTCAAGCAGTTGAATGGTGATTATTTTTTCCATTAAAAAATGTATCTTTTTATTATTTATGCGTAAATTCAAGCAGTTGGGCCTTCATACTATAGTCATGTACACACTGGCGCACTTTGAAAATGCACTTCCCAATTATGATTGCCGCCGTACATGGTCTTCACATGTACACACTGGCGCACTTTGAAAATGCACTTCCCAATTATGATTGCCGCCGTACATGGTCTTCATGTTCATATTCGGTGCTCTCACATAGCTATTAACAAATACGTGATCAATCTTGTTTTGTCTGTGGAGTGATTCAATATCTCAACAAGAATCATTCAAGTTAAACATGATCGATCTTGTTTGTAGAATAATTTGAATTTCAAATAATGTTTTTGCCTTGAGATATTCGATCAACAAGGTAATCCGATCTTGAGCCTGAAGCTCTGATATCAAATGATATGTGGAAATCACTACAAGAGAAATAAGATTTGGATTACATTGTTGATCGGATATCTCAAGGCAAAAACATTGTTTGAGATTCAAATCACTCCACTAGCAAGATCGATCATGTCTAATTTGAATGATTTTTATTGATCAAATATCTCATCGCAATAACACTTGTTTTAGATTTGAATAACTCCACAATTAAAATTGATTATGTCTAAGTACATCGAATTACAAATAAACTTTTATATATATATATATAGAGCTAAGTTAATAAAAATATTTTAAAAATACAAAATTTTAATAGAACTAAAAATTAAAGTTTCAAAAATATCCTTGAATTTTTCGAACCGTTTAAAAAATATTTGGAAAGTGTTTAAATATACGTGAAGTTTTAGTTTCATTAGTGATCTTGCATTTTTTAATTAATAAAAATGCTATATAACTTTTTTTTTAATCATAAAAATATTTTAAAATGTTTTTCTAAAAAATAAAAATATATAGTTACTGTTAGTGTCATGAACTTCCAAAATTAATATTAAAAAATTCAGAATGGCAATAATAGTAAATACATTTACTAGTTTTTTTAGTGAAATGATATTAATGAAATTTTTAAAATTTTACGGACGGTAATATTAATACATATAATTGAATTTTAGGGTTATTAAGATATTTAGAGTATTTACTTTTTTTTTTTTTGAGTTTATTAAGAAATTAAATGATTATTTTTTACCATTATAGAAATATCAAATAATTATTAAATGAGACGTTCTCAAAATTATTATAATTTCATGAAATAAAATATTATATATTATTTATAATTTTTCCAACTTGTTAATTAAATTATATGTTTAGATTGCCTATTTGCTCACAAGTGTTTGTCGTATATTTATTTATTAAATGACAAAAATAAAGCTTTGAATAATTCATTTTTTAAATTTCAAAATTTAGTGGAAATGGAAATTTTCTTTTTGTTGAAAAATATAATTCGTGGATCATTAATGCATTTTTTAAAGTCATCTCCAAATAATTATTTTAAAATAAAATTTTATATTTAATATAATAATTAATATTTATATTTAGTAGAATCTTCGAAACAGTAGAGACTATAAGAACTTTACCAAACCAAATGAATTATTGAAAGAGTCATTTTATTTTGTTGATATTAATAAAAAAAGAAAAGTCATTTTTATCTATTGTTATTTTCCCGAGAAAAAAGCTTCTCGCTAAAGAGCTCTTAAAGGCAAATGGGGTAAGAGCGGATTCTCTTAAAAAAGGTTATCGACTGAATAGAGCTTAGACAATGTAACGAGCATACGAGTGGATATATATATATATTTATTGTAAGTAGGAGCTGACTATTGGTTGGAGATTATAAAATTTTATTAAACCATAAAAATCATCAAAATAAAATATTAAAATTAAAATGTATTATATGGAGGTGAATTTATTATCTATTAACTGTTTTTTAAACCTACCATCATTTGTCATAAAATTATTGTCCGTACATAACTCATTATAGAAAATAACGACGCCGTTTACCCTTTCAACTCTAAAAGTCGACTTATTTTATTATTATTTTTTTTTTTTAATAAATCACGTAACTTGATGACCATATTAACTTAGACTACCCAATCTAAACCATAAAGATTAGATCGAGTTGAACTTTTTAAACCTAAAAAATTCGAGTCAATTCTCGAGTCGTCTCCCATAAAGATTAGATCGAGTTGAACTTTTTAAACCTAAAAAATTCGAGTCAATTCTCGAGTCGTCTCTTTTTTACTGGGTGAACTCAACTTGTTCAAAAATGAAGTTACAATCTAACTTAACCCTATCCGACGGTCAAAATCATTACGAAAATTAAGAATATTTGACATTTGTAATCGATGTTAATGATGCATTCTAACGTGTAAATACTTGATAATTAGTTTTTGTGAAATTTTAATTATTAATGTAACACTGAATTCAGTTGGATAAATATAATTTATATTTTTAAAAAATAATTAAAAAATAACTTGGTAACTCAACTCAACTTATCTGGTTCGGTTGTGAGTTGTGGTTTAGATAACAAATGCAACAAAATTCTAAATTTGAAGATGTCGTGGGAGCAGTTATTCAATAATTTAGTATTATAAATGTTATTAATAAAAATGGAAATTATAACAAAAATAAATAATTAATTAATATGCCGTTTTTAAAAAAAATAGATATTTGAATTATTTAGAAAGAAAATCGTTGCCAAATAAAGAAAATTACAGCGGAAGGTGTGAAATTCAAACGACACAGATACGGGGAAACAATTATTCATATTTATCCTAATTTTAATTAAATGATTATTTTAATTAATGTTTAAAAAATTATAAAAAGAAAAAAAAAAGGCTGTCAGGTTCCGTCTTTCGAAAAAGCACAATCCATTTATAAATATAAATAATTACTGTAAACCAACCAGCGTCTCTCGCCTTGCAAAATTTAATTTCCATTTTCAGTGAAGTTTCTTCATCCGAGTTCTTTTCGTTTTCATCGTTCAAAATTCGCCGGAAATCTTCACGATCCGCCATTGAAACTCCGCTCCGATTTCGATTTTTCTTTTTTCGCTAGTAAATGAGGTGCAAAAAGCACCAGTTCGACTGCAGCAGTAGCATCGGCGTCTGTGCTTCCTGTTTACGGGAGCGTCTTTTTTTGATTATTGCTGCTCAGGCACAAGCGGAGAAGCAATCGGAGATCCGTGCCGCCGCTGCCGGCGATAATCGTGCGGCGGACGATAGACCTCTTCCGCCACCGCCGCTTGTTTTTCTTCGTTCTGTTTCTCCTTATGATCATCGTCTGAAATCGGATGAAGGTTTGTTGAGCGATCTCGATCGCGAAGGAAATCGCCGCAATCGCCATCAGCGATTTTACAGTACTCCGCAAATCGGACCTGATTACAGAACGAATAACACTGCGAACTCTACATTCGTTACTACAGGTTCGTTCGATCGGAAAAAGAGGAGTAAATTTTCGCTCTGGTCGAAGCTTTTTAAATCTAGATCCGAGAAATTCGAGAAGAAGCATAAAAGTCCTTCTCACGAATCGCACGGTTCTGATTCGGCTTCTTTATCGCCGTCGTGGTTCTCGACGATCTTGAACGGCCGTCGGATTAAGCAGCAATCGAGCCTTGCGACAGTCGAGGAATCGATCGCTGGTGCCGAACGGAGACATCATTGTGAAACGATTAAACGCGGAATGTCGCCGGCGATAATATCGGAATCGGATGAAGAAGAGTGCGAAAGTCACGGTCGTTCTCCAATTTCTCAGAAGTTTCAACAGTCTCCGATGACGATTCCTGGATCGGCTAAACGAGAGAAATTAGGGCACAAACAGAATGTATCAGGATTCGCATTTTGTTTGAGTCCTCTGGTACGAGCAAGTCCGAACCGGAATTGGAATCAGAAGGTAATGTCGCCGGAAGTTTCTTTCTCCGGCAATCTTAGGGTTCCGGGGAAGCCTCATCTCTGTGCGAATCGGTCGAGGAAGATAGCGGACTTTGGAAGAGTCAATCACAACCGTTGATATCGACTACCGTTGACATTTGACCATAGAATTGATTGTTGATGGTGATACGATTGGCAAATGTACGATTCTGCCCCTCCAGTTTTCCTTTTAAGAATTTTAAATCCTTTTTCCTCTGCGATAAAAGGCCACGCGATGTCGGGGATTAGTTTCTTTGCTATTCTTCCTATGACCATTTGCATTCATTTATTATCAATACCCCCCAAAAAAACAAACAAACATGAACAATTAGACTTTGGGATTTGGGATTTGTGGAATTTCCTTGTTCTTTTTCTGGGTTAAATTATGCCAAGTGAGTTCATATTAAAAGACAGAAAAAGGAAAATAAAATTAATATAAAAATTAAAAATATTCTACCTTTTTAGTGAGTTATTAATGTAAATGGTAGATAAACACAATTTTGATAAAATAATTAAAAAAATTCGACTGGTTAGGTTGAATTTTTAACTCTATTATAGTTTCTCGGATTTCGATCCTATCAATTTTGAGTTAGTCTAACAAATTCTCGTGACCTAGCCTATGTATCCACGTAGGTTCTCAATATATTTTTTTGATTATTTACTTTTATTTAAAATAGTTTCGAATTTTTTCCTATCTCTTTATTTTATTATTGAATTTTTCATTAAAATGATTATTTAAAATAGTTTCGAATTTTTTCCTATCTCTTTATTTTATTATTGAATTTTTCATTAAAATGATCGTAAATTCGTAAAAATTAAAAAGCATATATTATATTTTTTTTTATGAATTAATTTTGTGAATGATGATTAGCCATGTCTCTTGGAATCTTCCCACTCCAACTAATTATTGTTGAAAAATAATGAAAAATGATGATTAGCCATGTCTCTTGGAATCTTCCCACTCCAACTAATTATTGTTGAAAAATAATGAAATAAATATATAAATTTGTCACATTTATGAACGTAATTGATATTGATGACTATGTCAATATACAAATATTTGGACTTCTATATTGCGTGCAAATAGATAAAGTACATAAATGACTTGGACTAAATAATAATTGAATATAAATATTTTAATTCATAAAAAATATAAAATGAAAAACTATATACTATACTGGAAATGAACGTATTCATAGCATGGATAATATAGGCGGATAATTACAATGTTTTTATTTTCCATACATTTAATTTTAAAATATTTTTTAATATATTATAAGGTATTATATTTTGATTTATTTAAATATTTTAAATGGAGGGTAGCAGGAAAAAGGAAAAATGGTGTAGGGGGAAGCAAATGAGTGATGGAGCCACGTGGCAGAGTGACGTGGACTATGAGGCAAGTGGTGGAGATGGCAGGTGGAGAGGATTTTAATGCGGTGTGACATGCTCAAACAGATCCTAACAACTTGACTACGTGTTTTATTTAATTAAAGTAATCCACGTCATTACATGGGTGGGTGGGGCCCTAGATCCTAGGGACCTGACTCCATCTCGTTTATTAACGGTCAGAAACCGCTGAGTCTCTTTTGATCGCTTCTTTACATTAATTGCACTTTTGACCAAAATTACACTTTATTTAAATTCCAAGGTCCCTCTCCCTAATAAATTTTGGGTCTAATTTTAAAACTATATATATATATATTAGACAATTTATTTATTAATATAATGAATATAAAAGATGAATATTTAAATAATGTAGTCTAATAAATTTTGGGTTTAATTTAAAAAAAATAAAAATAAATATATACACACAGATATATATAAATTAGACCATTTATTTATTAATATAATAAATATAAAAGATGAATATTTAAATAATGTAGTCTAATAAATTTTGGGTTTAATTTAGAAAAAATAAAAATAAATACATACACGCAGATATATATAAATTAGACCATTTATTTATTAATATAATAAATATAAAAGATGAATATTTAAATAATGTAGTAAATGTGAATTATAATTGCGATAAATGACAGAAATCTTATGGTTTTTGGTTCATTTATTGGTATTTATTATTATTGAAAAATTATTAGCGTCAGAAAAGGTAGGTTTACCCTTGCGATAGGGAAGAATGACTTTGACTTGGCTTTGATGGTGCCAATACCAGCCTTTATTTATTTATTTAAATAATTTAAAATTTTGAAAAATATATATTTTCAATTTTAATTTATTTGTTGAATGTGTTTTGAGTTCCGTGTCGAGAATATTAAAGTGGGTTTGATCGTGTTCAACTCCTGTGCAAGAAACTTGTTTTTTGTCTCGGGAACTTTGATATTAAATAAATTTGTCTGAACCCTGATCTTCGGTTGAGATTGAATGGACGTGAGATGTTCGTGTTTGTGACTCAGGGGTTCGTATATCTAAAAAGTTTTTAATTTCCTATCATTTTGCAACCGTTCAAGCCTGTCACTAGTAGATATTGTTCGTTTTTATCTATTACGTATCGTCGTTAGGTTTACGGTTTTAAAACACATTGGTTATGGAGAGGAGAATAAAGCACCCTAGTAGATGCATTTTGTGGGGCTGATGTTAATATATAACGGGTCAGAGACTATATCAGTGAAAAATAATTTATTTATTTATTTAAATAAAATTCAAAATAAGTTAATAATTTAACTGAAATTGTACGGACTAAATTAGATTGGGCCGATCGGTCATTGAATTATTTGAAATGTTGGGCCAAAGCCCATAAAGTTTCCCGACGCACGTGCTTCGCGCATGCCAAATTCACCTTCACTTTAGGATCTACAAGTTCGAGCAATCGAAGAGTCTCTGCAGGAAGAACAGAAAAAAAAAATGGCACTGAGGGCAGCCGTTCTTCGCCATGTTCGAGTTCCAGTCCGATTCTTTGCCCTAGCTCGCCGAGAATGCCAACCGGCGTCGTGTTCCGCTGCGTCGCTCCGGCTATTTTCATCGCACGATGATCACTTGTCCAAGGAGGAGGTTATTGAGAGAGTCCTCTCGGTTGTGAAGTGCCATCCGAAAGTCGATCCGTCCAAGGTGATTCGATCTTGTCCCTCCATTTCACTTGTTTTTTCAGCTTATTGAGTTTTTTTTTTTTTTTTTTTTTTTTTTTTTTTTTTTTTTTTTTTTTTTTTTTTTTTTTTTTTNTTTTTTCAAGTCTGTTGGAACGTCTTTTGTTGATTTGGGAATGCGGGAAGAATAGGTTGAAAGTGTAGTAATTCTGTAATATGCCGATTCAATAGTTAAATGTTCTGATGTGCGATCCCGGTGGATTTTGAATCGTTTGCATGATTTAATTACTATGCTTTATCTGTGCGAATGGAAAATTGGGGCAAACCATAACTAACGACGATTTATTCCCTGATCAAGCGTTAATCTAGAATGTGGAACTTAATAATTTTTGCTGAAATGCCATTTGTTTAATATTTGATTCGGCATCTTTTGGAAATTTAACTTTTTGGCTGAAAGTCTGGGTCGATTGCCGTATTGCACACACTGTACCTTCGTTTATGTGGATTGCTTGGCTAGGTTCTCTAGGATTATAACTATTGACACCTACATTTCTTGAATTCGCGGAGGTGAACTGCTTGGCTAGGTTCTCTAGGATTATAACTATTGACACCTACATTTCTTGAATTCGCGGAGGTGAACGGTTTCTAATCTTACACATTTTGGGTGTATATTGACACCTACATTTCTTGAATTCGCGGAGGTGAACGGTTTCTAATCTTACACATTTTGGGTGTAATCGATGATAGATGACAAATCATTAATTGCCAATGGGTGGTTATCTCAATTTTAATGATGCATCTTGGCTGGTGTATGCCAAGCAACCTCACTCAGACAGTGTCCGTGTGCATCTTGCTGCTCTTTTTATCTTGGCTGGTGTATGCCAAGCAACCTCACTCAGACAGTGTCCGTGTGCATCTTGCTGCTCTTTTTGTGATGTCTATATCTGTTTAGGTTGGACACTATAATGCTTTTCTCCTTCGCTTTATTGCACATAGACATAAAACTGTCTTTCTCTTATCCTGTTCTTCCTCTTTTGCTCCCTTTTTTAGCCAACATATCATATCTACTTCTTATTCGTCTTCTTTTGCCTTTTTGCCTTTTTGTTTTTTCTCTTGTGTCAATTTGTGTATCTACTTCTTATTCGTCTTCTTTTGCCTTTTTGCCTTTTTGTTTTTTCTCTTGTGTCAATTTGTGTACGATCAATCTTATAGATTGTTATGTCGTTTACTCAAAAGATGTATTTTCTCATCTCACTTGTCCCAGGCGTTATTTTCATATTGCTCTTAGTCTCCAAAGAACTTTTGTTAACATATTCCTTTTGGTCTCCCAGGCGTTATTTTCATATTGCTCTTAGTCTCCAAAGAACTTTTGTTAACATATTCCTTTTGGTCTTTTGATCACTGAATTGTGGTTTACCTCCTTATGACTTGACCTTATCGTGTTGTATTCCCAACGTATCCCCGAGAACCAGGCTATGCTATAGTAGATATTACACACTTTTTTGAGATATTCCCAAGAACTCGGCTATGCCATATAGTGAATATTACAAGTAGATATTACACACTTTTTTGAGATATTCCCAAGAACTCGGCTATGCCATATAGTGAATATTACACTCATTTTCGAGCCATCTTAAGTTAGGAATGATCAAAAGCAGCTAAACTATGTCACCCAGTTTCTACTATTAATTTTTCTGTCACTTCCAAGCAGCATCTCTTCCCTACTATACTTCAATTATAGCTTTTCTACTATTAATTTTTCTGTCACTTCCAAGCAGCATCTCTTCCCTACTATACTTCAATTATAGCTTGGCTGAAATGTTGCTGCAATTATTGGGTTTTCCGCTATTTATCTGCAGGTGAGCCCTGATGGTCATTTCCAGAAAGATTTGGGTTTAGACAGCTTGGACACTGTGGAGATTGTAATGGCCCTGGAAGAGGAGTTCAAGCTAGAGATTCCAGACAAGGAGGCTGATAAAATCGATTCCTGTAATCTTGCAATCGAGTACGTATACAACCATCCAATGGCTAGTTGACAAAGTACTAGCATCTTTCTCTTTATTTCTTTTTTGGTTTTTTGGAGTATGTTATCGAGCCAATGAATATTCATCTCTACATCGTTGTTTCGACCCTTCTTGGATGCTTGTCAAGAGTCGTGTTCTTCACACCGTGATGAAAAATAATTGCAACTGCCTGGAACATAAATCATTGTGTCCAGACAAATTTTCAGGGCGTACAATGGTTCTAACTTTAAGCACTTGCTTGCTATGCATCTTAATATCTGTGGCATCTTTTTCATAGGTAATCAGATTGTTTGATTTCAAAGTTTGATCTTCTCTTCTAAATTGCTTTTATTCAGAATAGACTGGTTCATCCTTAAGCTGTTGATACTTGGTAGGTTTTTTACTTAGGGATCTCAAGGAGATATTGTTTTGTCTTCAAAGTTCTGATATAAATGTGACCATTTTTCCTTGTGCTTTTTTGATACTCTATAGATTTTGCATAGTTCGAGTCGAAGAAGAGATCATTTGCCTTCGAGCTTTGATCTTCGATCTTCTCCGCTAGTGTAGTCTATGAGTTTTCATGTTTGTGTATAATAGGTCCCTGAACAGTTGGAAGTGTCTAATAGATCTTTGAAATTTTAATATTGTATCTAATAAGATTACGACTTTAAATGAATTTAATAAGTCCTTAAACTTTATAAGTTTGATCTTCTCTATGCATTGCTTTTACCTTTAAGCTGTTGATACTTGCAGCCTTTTAGATTAGGGATTTCAAGGAGATATCGTTTTTCTTCAAAGTTCTGATATGAATGTGGCCATTTTGCCTCGGTTTTATTCGTTTTATACTCAATAGATTTGCATAGTTCAAGTCGAACCAGAGATCATTTGCCTTCGAGCTTCGATCTTCGATCTTCTCTGCTAGTGTAGTCCATGAATTTTAATGTTTGTGTATAATAGGTTTCTGAATTGTTGATATTTAAAATGTTCATCATATGAAGAAAAGATTTTGCTTGGAATAAGCCTTATCACATGAATTAATTCTCTTGTAATGATTGATTGATAACTGGATGATGCTTGCTTGAAATGCTTCGCCTGTTCATTTCGGACATTCTTTTGAAGGATTTAATTGAAAAATTACCAAATATTGCGGACATTTTAATAATTAAATTAAGTTATGGATTTAAACATATATTTAAACCATATAAATAAAACTCTAATAAACAGAACACCCTTAAATTGTAACCTTATATTCTTAGATTATCTATTTTTTACCCTATAGTTTTAAAATCATTCTAAATATATGTTTTTTATTATTTAAAACCACATAGAAGTTTGTAATTGTTATTACCATTTACGATATTGTTAAAATAATTTACCTAATCAATTTTTAATAATAATAAATAAATGCAAATTTCATTTTAACTACAAATTTTTGTTAAAATAATTTATATAATCAATTTTTATACCTTAACTACTCAATTTATGCGAATAATATTGTAAATAAAATCGCATATTTCTTATGATTCTTTTTCATTTTAATTATATGAGAATTTATTTTAACAAAAGATTTTATATAATAATTTACATAATTATTTTTTTCATTTTAATTATATGAGAATTTATAGAAATAATGTTTAAATAATGTCGCATATTTATTTCATCTTTTAAAATAATTAATTTTTAAGGAAAAAGTAAAGTTTAAGAGCCAAATGAAAATTTATATAATTTATAAATATATTTTATTTTTTAAAAAACCCTGTTGGGTCGAAGCGTAGCCTCCAAAAAAGAAATGAAAACCCACTAGTCACTGGCAAGGCAACTTCCAAAAATGCAAGAGGCAGGCAGCAACAGATAAGGGAAGAAGCTAAACTCAGCGCCAGCCTACACCCTAAACCCATTTCATTCTGAGCTTCCAAGAAAAACGAGAAACGCATCAATGGCGCACCTCAGAACCGCCATGGATTCCGCCTTCTGGAATTTCGACGTTTCTTCCTCTCAAACCCTCGTCGGAACTGCCAAGGCTGTCCCCGGCGAACCATTCCCTCTCGACGGAGCTCGAGCCAGCCGCACCTTGCGGATTCAGCAAGTCTCCTTCCTCGGCAATGGATTTCCCCTCGGAATTCTTCCTTCCTTCTCCCCCACTGCACACAAGGAGTTAGGTTCCTTTTCTCTTCAGTCGCTCTTGCTCAAGTTTCCCGCCGCCGACTGGTAAGTAGCAATGGCACATTCTTCTTCTCTTCGGTTTATTGAGCTTTGTGATCCTAAATTCCTAGGTTATGGCTGCTATGGCACATTCTTCTTCTCTTCGGTTTATTGAGCTTTGTGATCCTAAATTCCTAGGTTATGGCTGCTTCTTTCTTTATGCTTCCAGCATTTCATTTTTCGGACTGTTCAGTGAATTTCTTGACGGTAGAGATGAATCAAATGTTTGATTGACTGGATTAATTATTCCTACAGTCATTACTCTACTAAGAATCTCAGATTACCAACTCATTCTGAACATACCGACAGGACTCACTTTTAATTTAGGATGATTAGAAAGTGCTCCCCTGTATCCCAAACCACCAGATTTAGCTTACGAAAACCATAATCCCAGGATGATTAGAAAGTGCTCCCCTGTATCCCAAACCACCAGATTTAGCTTACGAAAACCATAATCCCGTATGATACTACCTAGTTTACATACTCACCTTTAGTTTTATTCTCCTAACTTCAACTTAGGTACCTCAATTGGTTAAGGTATCTACAAATTTAACCCTCCACTCAAAGCGTTACGGTTGCCAGCGTAGATATAGCTCAATTGGTTAAAGTATCTACAAACTTAACCCCCCACTCAAAGCATTACGGTTGCTAACAGGGAATAGCTCAACTGATTAAGGTATCTACAAATTTAACCCCCCCTCAAAGCGTTATGGTTTCTAACGTGGGTATAGCTCAACTGGTTAAGGTATCTACAAATTTAACCCTCCACTCAAAGCGTTACGGTTGCCAGCGTAGATATAGCTCAATTGGTTAAAGTATCTACAAACTTAACCCCCCACTCAAAGCATTACGGTTGCTAACAGGGAATAGCTCAACTGATTAAGGTATCTACAAATTTAACCCCCCCTCAAAGCGTTATGGTTTCTAACGTGGGTATAGCTCAACTGGTTAAGGTATCTACAAATTTAACCCCCACTCAAAGCGTTACGGTTACCAACATGGGTATAGCTCAACTTAACTTTACCCCCCACTCAAAGCGTTTTTTCTAACTTACATTTACGATTACCAACATGGGTATAGCCCAAATATTTGAATCCCTCACTCTATCATTGACGAAGAAGTCAAATGTTTGAATCCCTCTCCCCACGTGTCGTGAACTTAACTACACATTTACATTTTTTGTGGTCTATCACATACCTTTTGGTTTCTAGTACTTGGAATTTCACACAAAATTGAAGTTCTGCTTTCTCATTTGTTTAAGCAAGTTTTGTAAAGGAAAACTTGGAATTTCACACAAAATTGAAGTTCTGCTTTCTCATTTGTTTAAGCAAGTTTTGTAAAGGAAAAAGGTCCAAGATTACCATGTTTACCTCTGACATTGTTTAGATTGCTACTGATTTCACAAATCTCAGATGTACCATCTAATGGAATCTTTACATTTTAGGTGGGTTGGATTGGTTGGTCAATTCCGTCCGAAGAAAGTGATATCTAATATAAAAGAAGACTTTTAGGTGGGTTGGATTGGTTGGTCAATTCCGTCCGAAGAAAGTGATATCTAATATAAAAGAAGACCTTATTTCTGATCTAGACAACCTTGAGCTCCTCCCTGCCTTGAAAGATGTTGCTACGATGTTTCTGGACAAGACACTCTATTCATATGGATTATGCTCTCAGTTTTCTCCTACTCCCTTTTCTTCTGTATTTGCCAGCACGGAAGAGCACGGTGACAGGAAAGGATCAGTTTTCTCCTACTCCCTTTTCTTCTGTATTTGCCAGCACGGAAGAGCACGGTGACAGGAAAGGACGTCGCCACAAAGCGATGTTTTATCACAGGGTGAGCATTGTTGTCTCTTATGTTTCGTTAAATGATCACTAAAGGAAAAGAGATGAATCATAAACGCGTTTCCTTGAGTTCTTTAAATAATGAGATCAGCCCTTTGATTCATATTTCAGTATAATGCTGATTGGATTCTATATTTCTTCATGGAGTCTGCTTACTTATCTGTGGTGCTGTATTTATCTTATGCCTAAATAGGATCTTGGATGATTTAAACACCATTTATAACCTATTGGCAATATATTTTGCATCTGTAGGCCAAGCTATAACATGTATGAAGTTCTTAGACTTCAATCTCTTTTTATGCCCCGTTAATATTAAGCATTGGAGAACATCAAAAACGTTTTAGTTTTCTTTAGTTTGCTTCTTCAATGGTGATCACTACCTTTTTATAAGCCATCTTTAATCATGCTTCCTCAGCTTCCTCATCATGATATAAATCTGGAAGCAGCTTGGCCAGAGCTCTTCATTGATCATAAAGGTCAATATTGGGAAGTGCCCGAGTCTCTGTCTTTGGATCTGTCGTCTCTTAAGTCTGAATCTGGTTTGCGTTACCGGGTCGGGTTGCATAAGAATGGTGGCGTTCCCCGGGCTCTTTATCATACCGATGGTGGCGAGCCACCTCTTACTCTTATGCCTGGATTATGTGCAAAGGCTGCATTCTCTTTAGAAAAGAATAGGTACCTTTGGGGGGGAAAAGAACAGAAACAAGGTTTAACTGAGACGACAGACGAGGCCGAACCATCGTATGATGTGCGCCTTAAAGATCCTCATGCAGCCATATCCGGAATTGTTGGTCAGTCTCCTGCCTTCCAAATTTAGTTTTAATGTTATGAATGTGTCCTCTCTGACCCTCTTCAAAAATGTTATTTTAAGCATCCAGTTTTGCTTCGTTTTTCATATCGAGTATTTGCATATCAGGTGGCACCTTTAGCTCATGGTTCGGAGGCAGTGACACGGTTGGGACGAATGGAGATGGAAACTTGGCTATCCATAACAAAAGAAGTCCACTGAATGCTGACCTTTTTGGCTCACTTTGCTATACTTACCAACATGGGTCATTTAGAAAGGATTTTCGTGACCTCACGAGGTTAGATGCTCGGCTAGATATTTCGTCGGGTTCAGCCTTTGCCAAAAGAGTTTTCAATGGGTTCAAGAAATCTATTGATGATCTGGAGAGATCAAAATCTACCCCTAGGCTCAATTTGATCTTCCAACAGCAGGTAATAACTTCTAAGTTTGTGATTCTAGTGCAGGTGCCCCCATTCATATATCTAATCTATTAGGCATGATATAAGAAACTCGTGATGTTAAGAAGAAATCCCCTTTGCAGATTGCAGGCCCGATTGTCTTCCGAGTAGATTCCCGGCTTATGCTCGGCTCTACCTCCGTCAAGCACGGACCCCATGTCGAGGACACAATATTAAGCCTAAACTATTCATTCAAGCTTCTTGAATCAGGAAAAGCTGTTTTCTGGTTTTCTCCCAAAAGAAAAGAAGGGATGGTCGAGTTGCGCCTGTTCGAGTTTTAACTTCGATATCGTTTAATTCTGTTTTAGTTCAGTCGATGCATTCAGTTTCTTAGGTTTTTGACAACGAAATCGGCTCTACAGACTTAGTATAGCACTTGAGGCTCTTGCAGATGTAATATATAGGAGTGCCGTCCTTGTTTATGGCATAGAGCTGAGGCTTTAGACAGTTGCTCAGAAAATAAGGGCATTTGTGATGAATTTGTAGTTATTGTCTAGAAATCATTGAAACTTGCAGCTAAACGTGGGCTGTTCATTGCTCCAAATCTCATCTGTTTGAATCTCATTGCACCAGGATCAGTTTGTTTGAATCTCATTGCACCAGGCTCCTTTGGTTTCGGGCTTTTTCTTAAAGATTTTTAAAATGCATTTGCGAGAAGATACTTGTGCCCTTCTTCAATCAAGTGGGACTCCCAAATTCACCTCTTTTGGGGCTTGCATCCTTTCTTATGGCACACTGTCTCGTGTCCCACCTCCATTCGGGGCTCAGCCTTGTCTCATGTCCTACCCCATTTGGGGCTCAGCCTTCTCGTTGGCACACCACCTCCACTTTGTGTTTGGTTTTGATACCATTTTGAGTTTTTTTTTTTTTTTTTTTTTTTTTTTTTTTTTTTTTTTTTNCTTCTCTGGATTTGTTAAAAGTTCTATCAAGAGTTTGAACCAGTTGGATTCAAAGTTTAAAGTGTTAACTATACCATAGAATCTTTGTCATTGTAAAATCTTGCATCAGTTGAGGAGTAGAACCTTACCGACAAAAACATTTTTTAAAATGGTCCACATACATACGCTTTTTTTTTTTTTTTTTTTTTTTTTTTTTTTTTTTTTTTTTTTTTTTTTNTTGAATTGAGTTGATAATATTTCAAGGCCTTTATCCTTCGAAAATTCCGTACAAATTCACTTCAGTTTTGTTTTTCCTTGGAATTAAGAACGCTCTAGAATTTCTCTTCCCTCACTAAAACGTTTCTCCCGCTCACCCTCATTCGCCTCCACAGAACTTTGCCTCTTCGACTCACTATCCATGGCGATGGCGTCTACGTTCGTCACAGTGCCAAAGCCCTTTAACGACTGGGCTAATTCATCTTCTGTATCTTCCCGGCGACTAATCACTGGTACGCTGAGAACTCGTTCTTTTTCTCGATCAATTCATCTTCTGTATCTTCCCGGCGACTAATCACTGGTACGCTGAGAACTCGTTCTTTTTCTCGATCAATTCTTGTCCCATTCCGTCTTCTGAATTTCTGGATGATTTTGCTTCTTGAGTTTTGAATAGGCGGATTCCGAAGAAGTTCGTTGAAAGTCAGCGCGGTTTCTAAGAAATGGGAGCCTACGAAGGTTTCTCTTTCTTTCTTCCGAAATCTCCTCAGCGATTTTAGATTTTCTCGTTCTTATGTGTTATTGAATTTGTGATTTGGATTTCAATGCTTATTCTTGATATTTTATGATGCGTGTGGATCTCAGGTTGTTCCTCAAGCTGATAGAGTTCTCCTCCGTCTTGAGGAGCTTCCCGAGGTAAGCTTAAGCTTAAGAAAATGGCGAATGAATGTGTAGTAGAAATTGTTGGATGTATTGAAAACTGTTAAGCTTAAGCTTAAGAAAATGGCGAATGAATGTGTAGTAGAAATTGTTGGATGTATTGAAAACTGTAAAACGTTCCATAAATTTGAGATGTTTTGTTGTTGCAGAAATCGGCTGGTGGAGTTTTGCTGCCCAAATCAGCTGTCAAATTTGAGCGACACCTTGTAGGAGAGGTGAGACAATTCCTTCCATTACAGTTGCTATTTTCTCTGTTTTAATTCGCGACACCTTGTAGGAGAGGTGAGACAATTCCTTCCATTACAGTTGCTATTTTCTCTGTTTTAATTCCTGTGAGGAAACCTGTTTGATAATCAACATAATGTTTCTATCAGATTCTATCCATTGGATCAGAAGTTGGAGGAAGTGATCTTGCACCTGGAAAGAAGGTAATTAAAGTTTTTTCGTTTTTAATAAATTTGGGTTTCTTTTTCAGCAATGATGAGTTCGTAATATTCTTATTTAAGGGTAGCAGTGTTCATAAGCACTTTTAGAAAGTACTTTTAAATGGTCTTTGCAGTGTTTTTTTAAATCTTCAACGAACTCTATTAGCTATGGATCGAAACACAAAATTTTCAAATCTCCATATCTTTGTTGTACTGAAAAAAAGCATTATTTGTTGTCCTAAAATGGTGCCAAATGCACCATTGTTATTATGCAAACTTTTGGGACTTGTTTTTATCTAAGAGGAGCAAATGTCTATTACCTTGCAGGTTATTTTATCCGACATAAATGCTTATGAGGTAAGTCTAAGAGGAGCAAATGTCTATTACCTTGCAGGTTATTTTATCCGACATAAATGCTTATGAGGTAAGTCGTTTGGTTTGGTGGAGTTATCATATTTGCTTTAATAAGCCATATAAAAACTCGTTGGTAAGGAATCACCCCTTTCCAAAGTATCGGAATTGGGAAAACTCGACCGTGGAGATAAGAAAACCTTAGCTTTTAGCCATATCTTTGATTGTTAAGGGTGTCAAAAAAAACTTGTTGACTCGAAAAATCTGATCATAGGGTTGCTTTAGATTCTAAGTTTGTTTATATTGGGTAAGTCTATACACGAGTTCTCTTAGAGATAAAGCCTACATATACGTATATTATCTTATTAGTAGTTCTCTTGGCTAAATTATAATTCTTTCAAATTTTGCAATATTATCATAGAACTTTCCTAAACTTTTCGAAACTACTATTGATATTAAAATCATTTAGAATTGATGTGACAAATAGAAAAGTGATGTGACAGTGACGTAGAATGCATGACTAGGACACTTATCTGGAATAGATTTAGTCTTCGTCCAATGTCGTAACTTTTTTTTTACTCTTAAAGGTAATTTTGAAATTTTTGTGACTAGTTAGGGGTAATTTTGCAACTTTGAAATGAACTTTAGTATGTTTTACAAAGAACAAAGTTTAAGATGTATTTTTTTAATAATTTAGCTTCACATTTTACCGATTTTGGAAGTTCTAAAATTATGGTCGGCCGAGAATATATAGACTGACCAATTGAGCTACGTTTGAATGGATTTATGGTGAATGTTGGTAGTGATGGGTTGTCAGGTGGACTTAGGCACAGATGCGAAGCACTGCTTCTGCAAAGCTAGTGATTTATTGGCTGTGGTTGAGTAGAGAAGCTTCACAAACCCAACCTTCTCCAACACTACAATGCAGATGGATGAACATCATCAGTTATCCACTCAGATCAGTTCTCTTTCCTCATTATTTTTTCTTCTTTCTGTCATAATATATGATTTCATCTTGTGACCCCTAAAATCAAACCCTACAAGCATTCCGAAGAAAAACAAAAACTAAATAGGTTCGTTTAGGTTTGGATTATGAATTTAGGTCATCTCGTAGCTATATAAATTTATTTTTGCTAATTTCATAGCTATATAATTTAGACCTCATTTAATAACTATCCGACTTTTGAAGATCATGTTTGTTTATATTTACAATTCCGTTTAAATTCTTAGTTAAAGAATTGTTTTATTCGATAACCATTTGGTTTAGGGTTTTCTTTTGTTTTGTGATCTGATTTTTACCTATGTTTTGAAAAACTAAAAATGGTTTTCAAAAGCTTTCTATTGTCAAGAAAATAAATACCATTTGTCAAAATTTGATTGGATAATGGTGATTGCTAGAGCAACCACAACTACCGGAAAGATGACGTCACTGAAACCGGCACCATCTTTGGCCCTTTTCTCTAGTCGTTTTCAGCCGAACCACATTCATCTAATGGATTGGATTACCCATCCCTTAATTTTGGGTCCCACATTTCCATATATACACACATATATATTACAAAAATTAATTAATTTCTGAAAAAACACATTTTTTTTTAATAAGTTTGAATATTTATATTTTCTATAAATTTGATGAAAGTTATGTTTTAAAATATATTTATTGATTTTTTATGACTTAATTATTTTTAAAAGGATTTTTTTTGGGGTTGATAATATTGAGAATAGAAATTCAATATTTTTAAAATTTTAATATTTAAAAAAATATGTTTGTAATTTCCATTTAGCTTCCAGAAACCAGTCACCTAACACTCATAATATGTCCACCATTTTGGCTACAAAAGAAGCAATAAAATCCTCTCTTTTAATATAAGATTTACTATTTTGCATTGGGAGATTTGGAAACCCGATCCCCAACCTTTGACCTCTAATTTTTCAACCATTCAAGTGCTTACTTAATTTAATACTGTATTTGGTATATATATATATTTCTTTTATTGAATTATTCTTACTGCCAAAATTCAATTTATTTGTGATTAATACCCTAGGTTAGAATAATAACTGCTCAAACTTAGAATTTTGATAAGAATTTGACCTTTAATTTTACAATTTTAACATGTTTTGTCTTGACATTATTTTCTAGGAAAATTCATTGAACGCCAATTAACATAGAATTGTTTCAACTCACTGATATAGACTGCTACTAACAATCACAAGAACTTTGGCATCACAAGAACTTTCATTAGTAAGCCTTGTTTATTCTTGAGAATATTCTCATTTGTTAAGAAACTATAACAAGTCCCGTGGTATTCACACATAAGACCCGTAGTTCATCATATCAAAACTGGACCATATTCTCAAAAAAATGGAGAAAGAAAGAAAGAAAGAGATTTTGTTTACCTCATAGAAGTAGCAAGAATCTAAGAAAGCTCAAGGGAACCCATAATCTTGGCCTCTTTATTTTCAGCAACTCACTTTTCCTATTTTCCCTTCTTTTCTTTTCTTTTTTGGCTAGCAATTTCACAAACAAGCAAAGCAATGATTCCTAAACAATTCCACACAAATATCATATCCATATCCATATTCATATTGCACATCTCACAATTCACTCATTACATATCAACACAAAGATTTACTCTCAATTCACATAATATTTGGAAAAAAAAAAAAAAAAGAAGAAGAAGAAGAAGGTATGGAAAGCTCATGGATCTGCAAACTAATTTCATAAATCACTTCACTGTTCCTTTTAGCTTCACTGCCACGATAGGGAACTTTTTTTTTACTTTAATCTCTGCCAAACGAGGTATTAAGAAAATAATAATTAAACAAAATCTCAGCAATCTTTTTTTAGCTTTTGATTTAATGCCAACGAAGAATATATATATATATATATATTCACAGGAATTACCAGCGTGAATCTCGGCCGTTGACATAATCAAAAGGATCAAAAAGAAGAGGAATCTTCACCGTCCGTGTTTAAGAAGGAAAAAATTACGTACCGGCCGGCGGTTACCATTTCCAAAATGGCCTATCCTTTGCGTGAAGGGTTGTTGGATGTAATTACGTTTATACCCCTGAGAACCACCGGAACATTTCGCTTATTTCCTCGCCGACGCGACTGTTCTCCTGTTCCCAATCTCCGCCAACGACGATCTCACTCCGACGGCTGCTTCCGGTGAAGAATCTGCCGGAGCCTCGGAAGGAGAGCGCTCGAGATGAAACAGAATTCGAGAGCCTGTCTACGTAGTCCTTTAACCAACTCCTTCCCGAGCCGACTTCAGCCGCGAGACTTCGCTCTGGATGAGGCGGAGCTTCTATGTCCTCCTTGTCGGAGACGCTCCTCCTGTGAGCATTGGTGAAATTCACTTCTGAATCTTCTTCGACGAAGTACTCGAACGATCCTATCGAGTACGATCTCCTTCCGTCGGCGGAATCGGATGCGCCTTGCCGGCGGCTGATATTTCCAATCTCGAGTCTGAAACTGTCTCCGGCGCGACCTTCAGCGGAGTAGGAAGCCATAGAAGCCTTAATCACGTCGGATTCGGAGGCGAAAATGGCGGAGCGGCATAGAGGACAACTCTGGTTCGATTGAAGCCATGTATCGACGCATTGAGCGTGAAAAGCATGGCAGCAGAGCGGAAGTAAACGAAGCTGATCCTCCGCCTCGAATTTTGACAAACAAACGGCGCAATCGGCTGCGGCAGTGGAAGAACGACGCGTGATGGAGGAAAAAGAAAAAAGAGGAAGCGTATCGATCGGCGAAAACGAATTGGTACACCGAGTCGTACTCTGCTCTGCTGGATTAATCCGACGGCTCGAAACCGACAAAGACGAGGACGATACAGGCACGGCGGATAGACGGAGAAGACACCGCCGGTTAAGGTATCGCAGAACGAGGCAGAGAATCACAGAAGCAAAGACAGTAAAAGCAAGGATCGAAAGAATGATTAAAATGCTAGGACTGAGATTCTTCAGCGAAGAAGAATGAGTCGCTGCCGTCGCTGCTATCGCCGAAGGAAGAGGAGGAGAGGAAGAAAAGTACTCAATGACGGAGCCTCCGAAAGCGTCCGGCAACGGCGGCGGCGGCGGAGAAGCCATAACAGTAACTCTTCTGGTTTTAGAGAGAGAGAGAGAGAGAGAGAGAGAAATGGAGGAGAGGGAAAAACAAGGTAAATGCAGCGGTCAGTTCTTTTTGGGCAGGTCTCTCGGTTTCATTAAGCTGAGGCCCGAGGGAACGAAGAGGGAGAATTTCAGTTGTATAGCAGCACGTGATCTGCACGTGATAATTAAGTTGAGAAAAACAAGCGCCACGTAATTTTCTCTTTTTTTTTTTTTTTTTTTTTAAACATTACAACACTGTGTCCGAAGCTAAGAGTGTGTGTCGGAGGGAAAATTACCACTTGTTGTCTCCTCTTAATAATTTCCTTTTCTTAAAAAAATAATTCAGAAAATTACCCTTTAATTCACTTTTATTTTAATTTGAGTGATTATTTTCTAAATTATTTCATAAAGTAATTTAGTTCAATTTTAAAAAATATAATAAATATTTTATTATAGTAATGTTATAATAATATAGCTTAGTTGCACCAAACTCCATAAAGTTTGGAATATTTTGATCATAATAACGTTTTAGTAATTTACAACCAATTTTCTATTTCTATTTTATATATTTAAATCTAATACTCGACAATATATTTTTTAAGTCCAACCATATTTGAGTCGGGAGATTCAAACTTTTGATAGTTTAGTCATGCTAGTATTGATATATAAAAAAAAAAAAAAAAAAAAAAAANAACCTGTTTTTATTTTATGTTGAATTATGTTCATCTCAGTAAAACTGAACAAATACGACCTATTAACTCATAAATTTATAATATTTAAATCGATAAAAATAATGAAAATAAATTATAGGCATTTTGCTAACTCATTTTAATTTATATAGCACACGAAATTATAAATAAATTTGATTTTAACTTTGATATGCATTTGTAGCCAAGAATAATCAGCTAGAGATAATCAAATTTAATATTTTAAAAAAATGTATAAATGCTCATAAAAATAAAAGGTAATTTTACCAATAAAAATATTTAAAAAATATTTTTTAAAATTAATTCTTCGTAAGTTATATTATTAAATTTACTCTAATTTTAATTAATTACACGTAGGTTTCTAAAACTCAATAAATATATGATCCAATAAAACGCCCCGTTTTAATTATTTTTTTTGGCGTATTTGGAGGAAAAACATTTATTATAGTTAATTTAATTTCACATCTGCCATTGTACATTATATTTAATTAAATAAATGTGGGTGAGAAGAGTAAATGCAGCCCTACGCTTCCAACCGTGAGCTGCACTAATAGGATATAATAGAAAATTTTCTGCTCTTTGTGGGACCCACGTCCTTCATTTTCCGATGTAATCATCACACGGCCGATCTTTTGACACCTCAGTTGTTATTAAATTGTTATCGTACGCACGCACGCATCCAATAACCTTTTCTTTTCTTTTCTTTTTTTGTTTTTTCTTTTTACAAATTAAAATATTAGTTTTTAAGTTTTATTAAATTTGGTAAAATAATAATATTAATTGCTATATAATAAAATAGACAACTAATTCGTTATGGAATTTTGAGCTCGAAAAAGCTATTTGATAGAGCGGTGAATTTGTTCTCGTGTGAAATCTCATATCAGTTAGAGAGACGTGAGAAACCTTTATAAGGGTGTGTAAATCTATCTCTAACAGACGGATTTTTAAAATATGAAGCTGATGACGATACGCAACGGGTCAAAACAAACATATTTATTAGCGGTGGGATTAGACTATTACATCTCGAGTTTTGTAAGCTTCATCTGTCACACTATATTCATCTTTGTCACTATATTTTGAAGGCTATTAAAAATGTAGACATTAAATAAATAATTTTTTCCCACATCGTTGTTTAAGGGTAATTTTGGTATTTTTAAAATTTATCGAGGATTTAAACCTCTAAATTATTTGTGGGAGGACACTATTATGGAATATTAGTTAAAAAGAATTAAACAAATATAAAAAATATATATGATTTATTAAATTAGAAAATAAAAAAAAATGAAACTTTTGGAAATTATTAATTACAAGTTAATAATAATAATTAATTTAGTAAATAAATAAATCGATAAAATATTTGTTTTTTGTTC